CTGCTCCAATTAATTTTATTATTTTTTTTTTTTGAAACAGAGGCACAGAAGTCCTACCAACTGCTGTAAGTAGTAAGGTTATACGCAGGTATAGAGCCCTTTAAGTTTTGACTTCTATTACAATCCCTATACCAAACATTTTCCTGTGTTGTAGTAAGATATTTAAGCTGGTCTGCCTTTAAAGTCAAGGATGCCTATGAAATAATCCTTAGATAAACTAAATCCATCTATCCCATGCTAATTTTACATCAGAAAAAGTCCCATCTGACTTGAATTGTCTGATGGGCTGAAATAACAAACTCCAGAAGCCCAAGGAGAGGTCTAAATCACAAGAGTTTCGATTTGACATTAAACAGAGCTAAGGTTTAGGGTCCTGAACTGTCAGGCACTGATCTAAATTTCAGAGAGAGCTGTAGTTGTGATGGCCAGTTCCTGAAAACACGCAGGTATTATAAGACATCTCAATTCCTCTATCCCCTCCACATGTAAACAGCCATAGAAAAGTGCCATTTAATTTCTTTCACACTTCTTTTTTGCTGCTGTTGATAATACAGACTTCTAACACTTTCCCAGCTTTGCAGAGGTACATTAAATGGCTTTGCAATTTTGGCAAGCATACAGCAATTTATTGAGCTAGATATTTGTCCCACGTTGCCTGAAAGCTGCTTCCCACTGGGACATTCCTTCTGAATGAAATGCTGTCTTATGCCTCCCACCCCAAAAAGCAGAGGAGAAATGCTGTCACCTCATCACTGCAGCTGGTGTAGGGCCAGAAACCACCTTGCAGGCTGTGCAATCAACTGCATTACCTAGGGCCTAGTAACATCTTCATGTTCTGAATTTGAAAAAGCTTAAACTTCTGGTGAACTGTTAGGGTCAAATTAATTTATTAGCTTCCCTTCCTCTGATTATATGTGTGGGCAGCTATAACCTGGAGTTTAGTTTCACTCGCAAATACCCAGACTTCCTTAATGGATATGGCTATTTGACAAATTAACCTTTCTTTCCCCACCCACCCCCCTTTTTCCTTTTTGAATGTACAACCCTTTTTTTTTTTTTTCCTTTAATTAGTAATCTACAAGACCTCTCACAGCACATTATAGGCACTTAAACCCCCCTAACATGCAGATCAGTAATAAAACTGCACTATAATACAGAACAGCACAGCAATTTATGTGCAGATCTAAATGGATTCACATGGAAAAGGCAAAAAATAGTTAAGCTACCATGCAGAAAATCAAAATTGCACCGGCTAGTATGTAAATTCTGAAAAAACAACAATTACTGGCCTAGCAACAGCAATAAAAGAAGATGCAAAAAATACCAAAGGTCATGTCGAGTGCTTTGATGGCGTGAGTTAACTTTCCCAAACTGAATGGCACTCATCTATATCTCCAAAAGGCCAGAATTAGCTTTCTAAAATAAATCTAAACATAGAAAAGAAGAGTTGGGATTTTTTTTTTCTTGCTTTTTGTCAAATGAGTTGCAGCATTATTTCTCATGTGATTTCAGGGGACTTTTGATAAAAACCTTCAGAAAACTACTGTAGGGTCTACAGTACATTTATGTTTCTGAGCTTGACTACTGTGCTTGAGGAATTGCACAACAATTTATTTCTGGTAGGCAGAAGTACCAATATATGCTAGAGAACCTATGTAATTTGATAACTGGAATCAAATGTCCACACAATGAAACTGAACAGCAAGAAGAATAATCGCTAGTGGTCAGTGAGTTTCATATTATGATATCTGCAATCCCTCTGTGCTGCAACATAGCACATTAGTTCAGGTGTAAGATATAGGTGACCCACATAAGCTCTCCATAGTTCCACTTCGGTCCTGAATAATCTTGCAGGGTAGGGAGGAGAGGGGGACACACATGCAAAAAATCTAACACAACAAAAACACCACCAAACACCCCAAATCACAGCTACAATATTAGATATTTATTTCCTTGAAAGACCCAAATAAAAGAATTTTCTTCAGACTCAGAACACTCTCTGCAGCTGTCAACTTTCAGAACTTGGAAAACTCCAATTCCCACATTCTCTCCCCCTCCGTCTAATAAGTTTCACAACTTCTGAATTCAGGTGAAGCCATTTTACACGGCAGTGTAAATGAATGTGCAGTGCATCACATTTTAGCTCTCTTATGCACACCACATACACTGTCAAACCTCACAGAAAATATTCCTGAATTTATTCACAGCTAAACTAAGCAATGCTCTACACCAGCACAGAAATCCATGCCCCAAGTTTAGCAGACATTAATACTTACAACAGTGTGAATTGCAAAGGTAATAGTAACAATGACATTCACAACTATTTCCAAGACAATACAGGAAGCACTTTCAAGACTTTCTGGTTTTCAAACTAAGCTGACATAAAATACCCATTTCAGCTCCACAGCTACAGATACACTGTAGTTACTGACTGTAAGCTGTAAACTGTGGCTGATTCATGTATAGCTGGCTTCACAAATGAGCATGACTTCCCTTATGTACATGCAGTAAAACTGAAAATACACTCAGGAATTCTCTGTTTTGTCCACCTAGCAATGCCCATTTCCTTCTGAGAATTTAGCCCCTTACAGTCATTAATACATATTAAATTTATGCTTCCCAAAATACTAATTTATGACAATGTTGTCTCAACAGAGCCCTGGGCTTAGAAAGCCAAACTGGCTCCTATAGGCCCAACAGACTGAAGGCAGAGGAGTCTACATTAAGCCTTGAAGAAATGAAAAAAGCAAATTAAAAAGGCCCCTCATCATATCTTTTAAGCTGCCCACATAAGCAGCCTAGTGCTGATACTCTCTGTAATTAGAAGTAACCCAAATAAACCTCTTAGAGAAAATGAGGAATAGTTGCTAATAAAAACACACTGGCTCAGAATCAGCTGCTTTGACTGAAGTCTGAACTTCTCCCTGCTGAGATTACATCAATCCCTACTACACGATACAATTTTCTAACAGGAATAAAATATTTGAGACATTGTGTTTCATTAGGAAACATTCCATCCCACATATTTGTTTTCTTTTCTTCTCAAACATTAAGTCTGCAGTACCTCTATGGTCTCCTTTCAGAGCTACAATATATAACAATAATCAGACCAGTCTCAATCATAAGTGCATTAAAGAAATGACACAACCATGCTTTATCCTTAAGCAGACTCACACACCTTAAAAGATTCAATTAATCTAATGAAAAAAACCCTGCACATTTTCAAGTTGCCACATCAGAAGCTTTGCGTTACTTTCTGAGGTTTGTTTAAACTTGCAAATGGTCTATTTATCACCCAGACATAGACTCATACAATAGTTAGGGTTGGAAAGGACCTTAAGATCATCTAGTTCCAGCCCCCCTGCCATGGGCAGGGACACCTCACACTAAACCATCTCACTCAAGGCTCTGTCCAACCTGGCCTTGAATACCACTGGGGACGGAGCATTCACAACTTCCCTGGGCAACCCATTCCAGTGCCTCACCGCCCTCACAGTAAAGAACTTCCTCCTTATATCTAACATAAGCTTCCCCTGTTTAAGTTTGAAGCTATTGCCCCTTGTGCTATCACTACAGTCCCTAATGAAGAGTCCCTCCCCAGCATCCCTATAGACCCCCTTCAGATACCGGAAGGCTGCTATGAGGTCTCCACGCAGCCTTCTCTTCTCCAGGCTGAACAGCCCCAACTTTCTCAGCCTATCTTCATACTGGAGGTGCTCCAATCACCTGATCATCCTCGTGGCCCTCCTCTGGATTTGCTCCCACAGCTCCATATCCTTCTTATTTTTAGGACACCAGAACTGCATATAGTACTCCAAATGAGGTCTCACAAGAGCAGAGTATGTCCATATTCATGACATAGCCTTACACACTTTTAATTGACTAAATGACAAACAGTGCAGTTTTGTCAATTCTAAGGCAAAGATAACTCACCTGTGATTCTCACACAGAAGACAAATCAAAGACCACATTAAGATCAGTATAATTTCCTTTAAAACAATAACAGTGGAGAGGATTTTCATATGCAATTACAATGGAGGAACACCTCCATTTTTCTGACCTAGCTGTTGCCGTTTTGACTGCTTCCTAATACATTCAAAATTACAAATAGCTGGCATATGTCTTCTGAAATAAAAAATATATTAAGGTAACCGGGAGACAACAACATGAGAATACCTTTGATGAAGGCATCACATGTAACCAATTGATTCTACTTTGCCTGTCTAGTTTCAGCATAAGCCATTCTTTTTGTTGCATGTCTCAAACTCCCTTTCAGCTGGTGGCACAGTCACAACCCACAGACAAGTTCTAATAATACATTTCCTTCTGGCTCCACAGTCTTTTGCTGTCCCAAGCACACTTGTAGTCGCACAGATAGGCCCGGAAATACAGTTACTCGCCTCTTCTCTTGTATTTCAGCTTTGTCCACATGCGGCTGCTAAGTAAAACAAGATACCTATAAACCTCACCCACAAAAAGCCCACCTCGTTTTGAGAGAGAAAATTGCTGTCAAGTTCCTTTACAGCCCAACATGGTTTATTATTCAGTAGCCTGAAATTGATAATCAACTGTTAATTATTTTTATAATGTTGAATATGAAGCTTATTATATGCCATTTAAAGAAAGATTTCTAGCACTTAATTTCTGTGCTTGCTACACAAGTCTGAAATTTTAACTAGTCCAGGGCTGCTGTCTTCAGTGAAGGTATGTGAGACAGTTTCACATATTGAAATGTTTTCATAATATTTTTCACTACATGATATTGACACTAATTATTCCCAAATATAAACAAGCCTTTCTTCAACTAGCTACTGAACAGAATCAGCTACATACTTAAAGCAGAAAATAGACAGTATTTCTGTTAAAAGTCTTTTCCTCTAATGGGAGAAAATAACAAGGAAAGTAAAACCACTCTAAAAAAATTCTACATTACCCATGCTATCTTTGAAACACACAGAAAAACTACTACTAAAAAGTATCCATTATTGAGTAAAACTTACTTTGTGGCAGATAGTGCCTTCAAAAGGGCTCAGATGCACCCCGGCATTCGTATAGACTAACTCCTCCTAAGTGAAAGCAACCTTTGGGGAGTGAAGGAAAAGAAACACTGGGTCCACTTGCAATGCAGATTATCAATGAGATTTTCAGCTGCTGCAAATCTGGGTAGTTCAAGTGATTTCAATTCCCTTTGACTTTAATGGAACTCATTCTGAGTTACATCAGCTGAGACATCCCTGTAGATGTATTCATGTAGATGTATTTATGGAGACCTAATGCAGCAAATCTCTTAGGTAAAGATGTGCCTGTCTAAGGACAGCATAGCTCGAAGTCAGAAGTCTATCAGTAACCATAGGGATGGCCAGGAACTAAAGTAATTTGAGCAGTTCAGGTTTTGGTCGTGTTTGGTTTACAAACATCTTGCTTGCCTAAAAATCAGTGTTTTGTTGCCTTGTAAGAGAACTGTTTTATTTCTCCAGAGACCTAGGTTGCAAAAGAAGGCACAGAAATTTTAAGTACGTCCTCATCCACACTGATTGCTAAGGATGTGCAGCAGACACCACCACCACAGGTCTCCTGGGGACATAAAGTCTTCGTATGCCTCTGTGAGGTTTGCTGATCCAGTTTCATGCATCTAACTCCTTGCTAGGAATGTAGCTACCCTAAGCTTCCCATCATAGAAGTGATTTCAAAAGTGTTTGGTTTGCTCCATCAAATGGCCTCGCTATACTTTACCCAAAAAATAACTTTACTGTTTTCTTACGCATCTTTAATGATCCTCAAAACACCTAGATGGTTCTAATATTTATATGAAACTCTACAAATAAAACTAACAGAATAGATGTTTTGTTACATTTTACTAAACCAAAGGCATTCAAAGCTGAGGGATCAATCCTGCCGACAATTATCCTGATGTAAATGAAAGAGTGGAGGTATTTGCATGACATGACTAAAAGCCAGCCTTGATATGATCAGATGTAACGGAGAACAGAATTTGGCCTACGGCTACAAAATGTTCAAGCTTTAAAACCTAGCATTATCAAGCAGTCTGCACTGCACAGACAAATGCAGTAACATGTAGAGTTGGCAAACAATGTACTACTGGAGAGGGAAATATCCCAGAGCAGCCCGAAATAACAAATGGGCACTGTTCAAACTAAGAAGAACAAGCACTTAGCTAAGTTGGATGCAGAGAACCAGACTGATCTATTACATGGCAGCAGGTGACAGCAGTGACAGAGACATTCATGGAATCCGGAACATTACATGGAACAAGGGGACCACCATCCTCCCACTGCGAGAGTGCCTTAGGCTGTACACAGAAGCATCAGGCTTTAATCTCCTCCATATTGCTCAGAACTGAGACCATAATCAGTATTAGATAAAGAGGCATTTTCATATTTATTTATATTTTGGATGGCAGAGAAATACATGCCATCATCTGAAGCCTTAGAAATCAGATGTGCTGGGGATTTTGTGCATGTGTCAGCAAGCATTAAAGAAAAGCATCTCTCACTAATTTACTAAAAGCTATGCAAAGCAGTTATAAAAAAAAACTTTATAATCATGTTTGTAGTGACTGCTCCTTTTCCTTTTTGATGTTGCATCCCATATAGTAGCTGACAGCAGAATACCAAGTGGGATCATCATTCTCCTGTATACGTAGAGTTCATCCTTGCCTTTCTCTCTTAGCCATATACAAGCCACAAGGCAGGCCTTTGTTTCATTCACTTCTTACCATGATACATAACCCTTTCCGTTAATTCCACTGGGAAATACAGCAGAATACAAGAGTCAGAAAGAACCTGAAAATACCTTCACTCCTGCATGTCTGAGTGAGAAGCTGAGAAAGGATAAATACCAGGATTAGAATGAGGGATGAGAGGAATGTTTTGTTCATGGTTAGACAAGCACAAATGGAATGGCTAGAGATTATAACTGTTTGCATTTTTTAATAGGGTGCTGAAAGGCATTTTGCAGATAAATGCAGACATAAAGCACGTGCTTTGAGGAGCTTGAAATCCAAACATTAGATTCTGGCCAACTGCTCACAAAGATGTTGGACTGTCCTTCACATTTCAACAAAAAGATTCTTCTTAACAACTGTCTGTATGTCCAAAAACTAAGAGTTGATATCTACTATTGCCCCTCTGACCTGCACTAGTGAATGCAGCAAGGCTGGATACAAATGCTGTACAATGACCTACCACAGTGTGACTGAGGAAGCTCTACAGTCTGGAAATCCCACAGTGCCCTCTATAAGACTGACCCTGTTGGCCAGCCTGAAGGGGCCATAGTTAGTGCTGAATGCTCCTCTTGAACCAGTACAGTATAGAATACCTTTCCTTTCAGCCTGCTTTCAATTTACTGATTGGTACAACAGAAAATGATCTTGATCTAAAATGACTAATATTGTGGGTTTCTGCTATGTCTGAGAAACTAAATCTCTCCCCAGAATAGTGTCACTCCTAATTAAATTCTCTGGGACACACACAAAAATGTTCCCAAGTTCATGCCAAGAGGCATTTCATATTTCTCAACCCTTGTATTTACAACCCTTCTTAGACCTAAAGTTAAGTTTAGTAGATGCCTTTAAGACTTTAAGAAAGGCTGTAATTCAAACAAAAAAAGTCCCATCTAGCTCTGCTGTGGCTATCCCTGCTGATCAGGAGTTCATGTCTAGAGAAGACCACAAGAGATAATAAGCACATAGCATGATTTTTCCTTGGATAAACTTAACAGGCTTCTACGGATCAGTGGTTCAGGGCTGCCAGAACTGGAGGATGCCTTTAGACCACTTCGACAGCAGCTTATTTATCTGTAAACTCATGGAGCTTAATATGAACTTTGTAAGTTTAGCACTAGACTGAGGATCACACATGGTAATACTCACCATGACTGTATTAATTGACATTAACACTTTCTACCTCATCTGTGGGCTGTGAACACCAACTGCAGAGGCTGTATTTCACTGCTTAATGAAAGTGAATGAAATAGAGTTAGCCAGCTCACCTGGACACCCTCATTTTGAGGTAGCTCATAAACTTTCTTGCTCGTAAGAGCTCACAGACCTGTAGCAGAAGAGTTTTCATCACCACATGTGCTCTTAATGAGCAACTGAAGCACCTGAGAAAACAGTCTACTTGGCAGCTATAAACAGCTACCACTCTCATATCTTCTTCTGTTGGTTCATTCATGTGGTATTTGGGACACTCACCATACACAGTCAAAGGATGCACAGTTACCAATGAAACATCTGTGTCACAAGAGAGCTTTCAAACTGAGGGGTAGCACTAGCTGCACCCCAAATGTGTTCCCTTCATTAAGTACAGCATATGTATGGGACTCCCATAAGTACTCCTGCTGTCAGTGTAAGTGGAGTAAAGGTCTTGTTTGTCTTGGACTAATTTTTAGAACAAGGAGAATAAATTGCAGTTTCCTTCTTTCACCCTATTTCATTGCCTCACAACCCTATACACACTTACCAAGTCCGATAACACTTTACATGGCTCCATTCTCCTGACATTTCAGCAGGGAATCTTTTCAGAAGAAAAGTTGAATACCTCCAGAGTAGAAGCAGCAATGTTTTTCAGTTACACATGATCCTAGGTGATGTGTACTGCACAAGTGCCTGAAAGTTACCCACAAATGGCTGTAGCAAACTTTGATAAATCTTACTATCACTTGTGATCCCTCCATTAGCACTTGCTGCCTGCAGAGGAACACAGTCTTGCATTTGTTGACACAGAGGACATAAAACAGATTTTAATGCCAAATCTTTCTAATGTCTCTTTTTCTGCCATTAGTCTAGATAATCTTTGAGTAAATACAAGTCTGGAAAATATGTATTAACTGTAACTCCAGCAAATTCTGTAAAAGCACAGAGAAATTAACTTTTACCTTTTTTACTTGCCAACTAACTTCACCCATTTGTTGGAAGTATTTAGATGAATTTAACATTCTTGAATTATTTGGGCTCCATATTCTCATAAATATTTATATGCAGTATGCATCCAAGACACTGTCTCCTCTAAAAATAGCATTCTGATTTGTGGTTTGCAAACATGAGATGAGAAGTCAGAGCATTACAAACTACATACAGCAAGTGTGTGTAATTATGCTCATTAAAATAAACTAAGTGGAAAAATTTTCATTACCTTGGATACAAAAGAAGCATACAGACACCCCTTGGATCCTGGTTGCAAGCAACTTTTACCAAGAGCACATAATCCTGTATTCCTAGCAATTTCCTCAGGCTCTCAGGGACTTGCTTCTAGCCCTGAAGCTAGAACCTGCCTGTGCAGAGCTGGGACAGATAACACGACCACTTCCTAAGTAAATCCCTTTAAAATTACCCGGTGAGTTTCTGGAAGGCTAATGGCAGAGCCCTGGTCTGGACTTCCAAGAGTCAGAGCTGGAACTTGAAAAATGACATGGAAAAGCAATAAGCAGGACATTTAGAATCCTGGTGTTCCAAGATTTTGATATTTAATAAACAATTTGCTTGACAGCAAGCTGAGTAGTTAGTGTTGCTACTCAATGGATTCTGCCTACAAGTGGGATCTCCTGGAAGCAGAAGTATAAATGAAAACACCACTATCCCATAATTGCCATCTGTCTGATATTCTGCAGTTGCCTTCATTAGAATGGATATTTTACTTTCATTCTATTACTGGTTTACTTTTATTCATTGTCTGGTTTAGTTTTAAAAGCATAAATCCTCAGTACACATTTTCTCTCCCACACATTTATACTTTCTTCTTTTCTGCTCCAAACACCTTCATGTTGTCTGTTGTCTCCCAAAGATCCCAGTATGGTTCTGCCCTACAGCATGAGGGGGCCATAATTCTTTTTACTTTTCCTCTGAATGAAAGCACAGCGGGAAGAACTCCTGTAGTACTGTTTATTCAGCTGTGAAACAGTCTTCAAAGGAAGTAGCAGAATTGCTAACACCTGAGTCCTTTTACCACAGTGACCCAAAGTACTGCCGAATGTATGTCCTCCATTAGCAGAGCAGAGCTGAGTCTGGCAAAACCCCCAACCCCATGCTCCATTTTGAAGAATGCAAAATAAAATACAAATCAACAAAATAGAAGTCAGGCATCAGTTCTTCTTACTAGGCAATAAATGCATTGT